ATAATTACATACACATATTTATATAGTACATAATCAGAGAATTTCGTAATCATATATATTTCAATTAATGTTCATATCCATATATACATAGGTATATTCAGATTGATACATATGTACATATATCATATTCATATTCATACTCAATTTCATATTCAAATTCATACTTTTGTTTTTACCGTTATCCATTTTCATACTCATATTCATATTCATATTCACTCATATTCATATTCACTCATATTCATATCCATACTCATACTTTTGTTTTTAACCTTCTTTACGTTGATTTTCATACTCATATTTATATTCCTTTCTATATTCGTACTCAAATTTATACTCATATTCGTATCCATACTCATACTCATGTTCATACTAATATTCGTATCCATACTCATACTTTTTTTATACCTTTATTCATGTTTATATACTTTCTCACTCATAATAATATTCATATTCTTCTCATACTCATACTCAAATTCATACTCACATTCAGAATCATATTCCTGTTCATACTTATACTGATATTCTAAATCATTTTTTTACTCCTGTTTATATTATATATTCATATTCACATTCATACTCATACTCATACTCATCCCCGTATTTATATTTTTATCTGTATTCATATTCATAAGCACATCCATACCCACACTCATTTGGATATTCATACTCGTACTTATATTTACATTCATATTCATAAAAGTTATGCAATACATATGAGTATTGTATTGCATAAGTTTCTTTTTGTTTTTCTTGAATTTGGGGTAACTTTGACAAATTGGTAATTTTGTCTTTGAACACGGTTAATTAAGATTAATGACATAGCAAAATAGAAACAAAATACCAAAGCAGTTGATAATAATCATGTAAAGTGAAGCGTGAGTACAAAAAACCCCGCGAAAATATTAATAAATATTTAGCAAATTTGGTAATATGAGATAATATTTGAGAGCAACTTAAAATAAACTAAAATGTCTAGAAATCTTAATTGGTATTAGTTACAAAATCTTAAAAAAATCCGTATTAAAACAAATAGGAAATAAAATACAATGAACAGCCTAATGGTAGGCAACGTTTAGGTATGCAAAAGGAAGCTCAGAATGCTTTTCAACTAGGAAAGATTAAAAAAATATTAATATAAATTTTTTAAGTAAATAAAAATACAAAACAAATAAAAACATTCAATTAATGGTAATATTTCAAAAGCGTAAAACAATTTTTAGAACATAAACTATTAAATTTATCTACAATAATAAATTTGCCATTTAAAAATAAACTTCAATACACAGTGTTAAAAACACAAACCTCATGCTCAATCTAACGCTACTCACATACTTAAAGCCATCTTAAAACTTAAATAATGTGCTAATATTTAGAAACTTCTAACAGCAGCCTAAATGTAGACTCCGCTTTTGCTGCACTCGCTTACAAAGAATAAAATGCAGCATAACTTAAGGCATACAATGGATGCTCAAGTACTTCTAAGTGAGCAAAAATGTAATAAAAAACTTTAAAATAATACAGAATAAATATAAGAATAATTAAATAAATGTTCTTCAATTTTTTTTAAATATTAAACACATAGAAAAATTAAAAAAAAAATATAACAATGTATTATTTAACACAAATCACATACAGACTTTGAAAACATAAAGAACATGCTCGAATCAATTTTTTTTTTATTATTGACTACGAAAAAAATACATATGCACATACATAGTACATACATATATGGATACCCACTTACTAATCAAACAATCATGTTAGCTTGTTCACATGGCAAGATAGGCAAAAGCTTGTTGAAAATGTTTTACTACGAATTCAACACGTCTAGGTAGCGCACCGTAGCGTAGCAAAAACCACAGCTGATAATAAATAGTACCAAGTAAATCAAAAAACCGCACACATTTGATATGAACTAACCAAGCTCGGTGGTAGGTACCTCCCAGCGGACAGTCCAACGTGTGCGATTACATTCACTTAGAGAGTTTGAAATGTGAATAAAAAATATAATTTGAGTAATGGCAAATTTTCTTCTTCTTTTTATGCAAACTTTTATTTTTAAATATTTAGATAGTATAAACTACAAACAAATTCAAGGTGATGCCAATCATTTGTACGCTTATCAGCTGTACGGCGAACTTTAGCCACAAATGCAATATACATATATATATATATATATATATATATATATATATCCCTATATATATTGGTGTTTTGTTTTAAATTTCACTATCCCCTTCTGATTTTTATACATCTACACGTAATACACTCGCTGGTGATAGAGAGCTCATAGGGCTTATCGAGCTCATATTTACGGAAATAATATTCTGGCGGCTGATTTAAAGTGGTTTCGTTTTTTTTAAATATGCAATGATATGACATTTTTTGCACTTTAATAGCATTTGAAATTTGTATGATGATAATATGATTTGATGTTATCTATTGAATTTCACAATTGTTGTGAGCTAGTATTTGATAAAGATGGAGTTATTAAACGTATTTCTAAAAATATTCAAAAAAAAATATTAATACTTATAAATGTACATATACATATATATGTGTGTGGGACCAGAAAAAGTTCTCTAATTCCTCTTTTTTTCATACTGTTTTTTATTATTTTTTATATTACATTATATTATATTATTTTATTTTTTTATTTTTTTTTTATATTATTTTATATTATTTTATTTTATTTTTTTTTATTTTATTTTATTTTATTTTATTTTATTTTTCAAATGCTTATTTCAATTAACATTTAATATTATTTAGAATTATTTGGCGGTGTAAGCGAGTAACCTAACTTCATGGGAACACTGGTGGCAGTAATCACGAAGATTTATGATTAACACGAATATTCACACTAAATGACGTAAATTGTTACTATCTGACCAACAAACCAAAATCATATCACAAATGACGTAGAAAGTATTTTTAATTACTAAATAAATACTAAATCACGCAGAATATAATTGATAGCTGACACTCCAACACTATTTCGCTCACTCTATCACAAAAATATTTATAAAAAAGCAGAGTGTAACAGAACTAAAAAAAATGTTATTAAAAAAAATTGATTTTTGTTAGTCACAGCTTAGTTGCACGATTTTAGTGAAGCAAAAGCATGACTAAAATAAGTTTAGGCTGTAGTAAGTAGGTAAATACATATATTTGATAAAAATAGTATTCATAAAAAAAATCTCAACCCTCAAAGAGTATTCGTAATTCAGGTGATATTTATCAATTAACGCGTTGCTTTACTTCAAAAGCGAAGAGGCATCATTGCTTTTTATTTATGTATACACTAAAGAAGAAAGCGAAACTTGTTTATCTTTGTTTTCAGTATAATATGTAGTACTTTCCCAGAAAAGAGGAGCGCGTCAAGAAATATTAAAAAAAAAAATCTTAACTAGTGGACAGAAACCTAACGGAAACGTATTTAAATTCATTTATATAAATATGAAAAAAAATTTCATTTTATGTTTTGTTCTTATTTTCATTTTAATTTTTTAAAATTGATTTAATTTTATTTTCTTTAATTTAGTTATTTTTTAGTTTATTTATTTGTTGTGTTTATTATTATTTTTTTCTTTTACTCAACTGTGTTTTTTCATCTTTAGAATTTAATGTAATCTTTTTAATTAAATTAATGGAATGGATTCTATTTATTTTAATACTTTTAAATTTCCCTTAAATTAATTAATTTCTTAATGGTTTATTTGTTTTATTTCAAATTAATTTTATTTCACGTTGTTTTATACAATATTATTAAGTATATAACAAAATTTTTTTACTTTATTTTTATTTTTAATTAATTTCACTATAATTTTTTTCTCCTTTATTTCGCTTTTAATTTATTTTATTGTAATTCAAATATTTTATTTTATTTTATTCCTTTTTTATATCATTTTAATATTTTTTAATTCATTTTATTTTATTTTCTTCTCTTTTCTTTTATTTTATTGTACTGTTTAATTCAATTTAATTTGATTTACTTAAATTGAATTTAATTTTATTTTCTTCCCTTTAATAAAATAATTTTTTATTATATTCGTTACCTTTTTTTTATATTTTATTTGACTTTATTCTTAATTTTGAATTTCTTTTAAATATATTTGATTATCCTTTTCCTTTATTTAACTTTTAATTAAAATTTATTTTTAATACTGAATTTAATATTTTTTAATTTAATTTGATTTGACTTGTTTTATAATATTTTATTCTTTTAAATCATTTTATCTTACAGATTAATTTAGTTTAATTTAATTTTTATCTATTTTATTTTCTTTTGATTGTGTTAACTACTGTTATTTTTTTAAATATTATTATATAATTAAAAATAGTTAATATTTTTTATTTCATTTTGATTTATAAATTTAAATTTTGTTTTATTTTATTTAATCCAATATTATTTTGTTTTAATTTTTCGAATTTAATTTAATTTAGTCCAAAGCAATCTTTTTAAAATTATTTTTTTCTATTGTTTTTTTTTTTTATTTAATTTAATACGAAGCATTTTCTTTTACTTTAATTCATTTTAATTAATTAAATTATTTAAATTTTATTATTAAAAAAGTTTTAATTAATTCTGCTTTAGCTACTGTAATTAAATTTAATCTAATAATTATTTAAGTTAATTATTTTTTTTTTATTACTGTTACTTTTTAAACATTTTTATTTCAGTAAATTAATTTAATTTGGTTAATATTATTTTATTATAGTTTTCTGTATGTACATAAGTAAAATTATTATTTTTCCTTTTTATTACTCTTTTATATTTTATTATTATATTATTTCATATATTTTGACTTATTCAAGTTTACTTTAATTTAGTTAAATTTTAAATTATGTTATTTAGTTTTTACTTAATATTTTTTATATATTTATACTTATTTATATAATTTTATTAATATAATGCACTTTCATATAAAAAAAGGAAATATTTTTCAAATGCTCATTTCTAAATTTCCTTCGCGATATACAAACAATTTTCGCTCACTCACTTTTTCTCCTCATCAGCACCAGCACAACCGCCAACACCAACACTGCCAATACGGGTACAGCCAACAGGCTCAGCAGCTTATAATCCAAAATATCTAGTTGCTCGAACATATTAGAAACGAAGTAATCCATGTTTAATTGGAAATTACACAAACAAATTAATAAAAATAATTGTAAGCACTTGAGAACAAGACAAATTTAGCACGCACTGCACTTTGCTAACGAATTAAATGTTAAATTAATTGGTTATAGAAAAACAGTCCTTTTCACTTGAAGGCGAGCGCGCGTTTATTTGCCAATAAGAATGTGTAAAGTCCTTTGCCTTCACTGCGCTGTATTATATATATGTAGATATGTATGTATGTATGTATTATTTCCCACTTTACGCGCACACACACTCACTTGAAAAATTATTGAGCCTGCGAGAGCGTTGATGGTATACGAGTATATACTAATTTGTATATATACACGTATACATATATGTATGTGCAAGTATATTGTAATTTATCCTTCAACGTGTTCCAACCGCGGCTAGTCACGTATGTACTATGTACATATGTAAAATGAATGATTTGTTGTGTAGCGTTTATACGGTACTCGTTGGATACACTTATTTCTTGCTTATTTGCTTTGACTGGTCTTGCTTAGCACTGCACGGCAGTGATGTCGATGGATGGGACGGACCACGTGTTGTCGAGCACACCAATACACGCACGCACACACACACACACACAGAGCGTTGTTGGCTTCGCGTGGGTTCAATATCCTTAACAATGCAGGAGTTCCTTGTATTTGGCGCGCTTCTTTTACTCGCTCACTCTCTCTCCTTCTCAGAGAGGGTACTGTGTGTGTTTGCTTGAGTATAGATTTCTCCGTTTTGGATGTCTGTACGCCAGATGTGTGTGCCGCCTGCTGCTTGAGTCAATCTTTCCAGTGCTTGTATGTTCTTCGTTTGTGTATAACTGTTATTTATTTATACTTTATTTTTTTTTTTAATTGAGTAGTTGCCCTAACGCACTCTCTCACCGGTAGTAACTCAAATTCTGCGCACGTTACACGAGGACACTTTACAGGGTGTTTTGCAGAACTTTTTTTCTTTCCTTCTTAATAATTTTTTTTGTCACTTTTATGCCGTTTTTCTTTAGAATAGTCCTTTTTTATAAGCCTTAAATCGTCTTCAAACAATTTGTTGTTTATTTTAATATAGCTGGCTGGCGTTCTTTTGTTACTCGCTTATTTGCTTTTATTTTCCGATTTTGTCTATAAACGTTTAAACCATTTGACAACTGGCGTTTTAGCACATCACTAGTGTCACATATGCTTTTTTTGCTTTAACAAAATTTCTCGTATGTTTGTATAATGTTAAATTACTTGCAATAATTTGCATTGCTGGTCGTGTAACGGTGTTGTTCATTTGACTGCTCGTTTGCAGGACATGCAACGCCATGTTAGTTTAGGCGAGCAAAAATATGCCTTTCCGATACACAACCTACTTGTGCTTGTAAGCTTAACGGTATTGTTTTAGTTGTGCGTGAATCCGTCAGATAGCGTTTTGCCATGCACACAAAGTTTTCACTAGCGCCAGGAGCTTTTCACTATAACCTCCGCTAACGTCTTTTGACCAGTCAGTGTACGGTTTATTTCTAACTAGATTCAACACTTTTATAGCGCCTTCACACATATGTATGTATGTGCCACTTTATAATGCATCTATTATATATTGACGATTTTCACTGCAAAAATTATTCACTTTTATTTATTATTAATTTTTTTTTTGTTTCAAATAACTAGAAATTGCTACATAAGCGCACGTTTTTCACCGTTCAGCTGGACGTGTCAAATGTTGAAATGCTTTTTTTTTGTATGTAAATATGTTTGAAAATAATATATAAATTTCTTTCAAATGTCACGAATTTTTCTGTAGCTGCGGAAATCATATGATAAATTGTTTGACGTTAGTTTTTTGTTATTTATTTATTTTTATTATTATTATTTTTAAACCACTTTTTTTTCTAATTCCTTTCAATTTTGTTTCCAAAAGCGAAAGAAAAAAATAATTCTAACACGTTGTTTACACTTTGTTGAAATGTTCAATTTTTGAAGCGTTTATATATTTTATATTTATTTATTTTTTTTCCGCAATTTTTGACGACAAATTATTATTTATAATGTCGCAAATGTCGCGACATTTAACGCGCTGTCAGCACACAGTATAGCTTTTGCATATACGAGTATGTAGGTATGTATTTCTATTTACTTTTATTTCGAGAATTTCACGTTTTGTTTTCCTGCATATTTTTGTATATAATATATACCTATATGTATGTATGTATGTATGTATGTACGTAGGTACTATGTAGGCCTTCAAGCGCGTTGAATTTTCACACCCACACGACGTCAAAGCGCAACGATTTATATATTTACATGCTCGCAAACATACATACACTATATATGCAGGTATGTATGTATATAATGGCCGAATATTATCTATTTTGACGCATTGACAAAGTATTTTCAATTTATTTTCGCGCTTTACATAAAGCCTGCTGCTAATTTTTTAACATTTAGACTTTTTTAATATGATTTTTAAGCGTTTAAAATTTTTCAAAACAATTTGCTTATATTTTTGAAAACTTTTGGAATTAAAAAATTCTTTTTTTATTTGTCACACAATATAAAAGTGTGGTTTATTTTAATTTTTGTTTATTTTATTTTCTTTTTTTCTCTATGTTTATTAGTTAATTGGTTTTGTTGTTGTTTCTATTTAGCTATTTTTTTCTGTAATGTTTTTGTTCTCGTCACTTGTTAATAACCACTTGCTGTTCGCTCGTTTGTTTCTATTTTTTTTTTTTTTTGCAAATAAATCAATTGATTAATGTACTTGATTGTCAACAAGTTTTTTGATTAGCTGTAAGCATGCGAAAATTGACATGTGTAAGTACCAGCTTAGACAATTTGCATTTTTTTAAACAAAAAAATTGTTAAAATAAATTTTTTCAATAACAAATCTATTTTCAGCAGCGAAAATTTCTTCAAAGCATAAATATTAATTTTTCGTATTAAATTTTCTGCTTATTAAATAAATTTTTTTTAAATTAATTTTTATATATTTTATATTTTTGTTAATTTTTTTTTTATATTGAAATATAGCAATTTCGAAAATTTTTCATATATTTCGCACACACGTTTTTTCTTAATATTTTTCACTTGTATATTTTTTTTATTTTCTTTTGTATAGCGCATTTAAATTCTTAACCGCATGCCAAGTTAACTCGTTGTCCGCACAATAATGTGTTAACACTTTGGCCAATCGTACTGAACTAAAAGCGTTTGTATAAGCGTCAAGCGCTCAAGTAGTGCACTGAATGCGATTTCAATGAATAATACAACAACAACACAAATTCTGCTATACAACAAATGTAAATGAGTTAGTAGAGCGCCAAAGTGGGCGAAAATTTGTTGCTCATCAGTGCGTTTGTGTGTGTAGCGCTAAATGAGTGAGCGTTTGCTAGCGAGCGAGAATAAGCGAGAGCGGTAAGCTAAAAGCATGCAAAAATGATTAGCACCGAGTTAAACCGGTTTTCACTACGTTTTCGGTGTTGATTTAAACATTTAAATACTAAATTTAAAAAAAAAATCTAATAATAATTTATAATTTAAAAAAAAAATAAAGAAAAATATAAAAAATTAAAAAGACATTATATAATATATATATGTATTATATATAGATACATATATATATGTGTATACATATAATGTATATATTAAAAAATTATATATATGACACAAATCAAAAAATCTAGTTTTATACAATATATATAATAAAATTTATAAAACTTCAATTAAATTTAAAAATATTAAATTAAAATAAAACAAAACAAAATAAACATAAACAAGTTAGATGATTTGAAATGAAATAAAATAAAATGAAACGAAATAAAATAAAATAAAATGAAAATTACAGAAGCAAAAATGGAAATATCAATAAATAAAATAAATTAAAAGGAAATGAAACAGCAAAATAAAGTAAATTAAAGAGATAAATTAAACAAAATGAAATAAATTGAAATAAAATAAATTTAATAAAAGTATATTAAAAATATATTAAGTGAAATAAAATTAACCAATATATAAAACATAAAAATAAAATAAAATTATAATAAATTCGATTCACTGAAATTAAATAATTTAAATCAAGGTTAATAAAACTAAATAAAAATGAAAGAAAAATTAATTAAAATAATATCAATTAAGTAAAATAAAATAAAATAAAATTCAATTCATTTAAGTTTAATAAAATAAAATAAAATTTAGTTTATTTAATTAAAATAAAATAAAATATTTATATTTTTAAAAAGTCCTCCTATATCTCTAATAATAATATGGTAGTATTCCTAAACTACATTGCCTTTGATAATAATTTACATTTAGGAAATGACCCGATGAAATACAAGACAAGAATTTTCATAAAAGAAATAAGAGTTTAGTAATGTTATTTTATATAAAGCAATATATGGCATTATAAGTTCATTTATTACTTCTGTATAATTTTCTGATTTATGGTGTCCAATAAAGGAGAAAGAAAATTCCAGTTTTTTAATATGGTACCTTGAAGCTTAGTCTCTTTTTAGACAGATTCAAATCACTTACTATATCATGTAAATTACTTTTTGTCAAAAAGCGCGGTTCTTTTGAACATAGCAGTACATAACTGCCTTTTTTTGAGTCAAACAAATATAACAATTACTTTGTTTCGTGCAAAGAAATTATTTAACAAAGGAATATTTATTATATAAATTATAAGTTAAAAAATAAATTTGCGGGCGTCACAAAAAGAAAATGGATGTGCTTAACGTAAGACTTTTCCTAAAAATTAGTTGATGTAAAATTAAATTTCATAAAAAATGGATATATGATTACATAAAAGCATAGAACGATCTTTTTTCTCAATTATTTGTATTATTAATTACTTTTAAATGTACGAATTTTCCAGAATTTTATCTAAGAAATCAAAAAAAACAATATTATTAAACGAAAAATTATTCTTAAGGTAATATGTACCCTTAATTAATAATTTTTTATTT